GTTGTTGTTGTTGTTATTGTTGGTGTTCTTGTTATTGTTCTTGTTCTTGTTCTTGTTCTTGCTCTTGCTCTTGTTATTGTTCTTGTTCTTGTTATTGTTCTTGTTCTTGTTCTTGTTATTGTTCTTGTTCTTGTTTTTGTTCTTGTTCTTGTTATTGTTGTTGTTGTTGTTGTTGTTGTTGTTGTTGTTGTTGTTGTTGTTGTTATTGTGGTTCTTGTTCTTGTTCTTGTTGTTGTTGTTGTTGTTGTTGCTGTTGTTGTTGTTGTTGTTGTTGTTGTTGTCGTTGTTGTTGTTTCTGCTGTTGTTGTAGTAGACAATGTTGCGGTTTTCGTTGTTGTAGCAGCTGCAGCAGTAGCAAGAGCAGTAGTTGTAGCACGAGGGGTATCAGCAGTTGTAGTAGTAGCAGCCGCACAGTCCTTGTGGCAGCGTTGTAGCAGTCGTAGTTCGACTACAGCTGCGACGACGACTACCACCACTACTGCTGCCTCTCCTACTCCTGCCAGTAAGACTTACTTCTATTACTACCCTACTAGTTACTATTCCACCACTACTATTGTTACGGCTACTACTACTACGACGACTACTACCATTTCCAGTGCCACTACTGTTACTGCTACTACTACTACTACTACTACTACTACTACTACTACTACTACTAACTACTACTAATACTACTACTACTACTACTACTACTACTACTACGACTGCTACTTCTGCTACTACTACTGCTACTACTACTACTACTACTACTACTACTTCTACTACTACTGCTACGACTAGTACCATAACCATTACCACTTCTATTACTACTGCTGCTGCTACTACTACTGCTGCTACTACTACTATTATTATTACTATTACTACTACTACTACTACTACTACTACTACTACTACTTCTAGTACTACCACTACTACTACTACTACTACTACTACTACTACTAGTACTACTACTACTACTACTACTACTACTACTACTACTACTACTCATCCTACTGCTACTGCCACTACTACTACTTCTCCTTCTACTGCTGCTACCGTTACCACGACGATGACGACTTCCGCGACTACTATGCTGTAGCAGCCACTCCCCTGCCTGCCTTTGTCACTGCCAACTCCACCAGCAGTACTGCTGACGCATCGGTTCGGCAGCGACAAACATGGAGCTGGAAAACTGATGCATCAACTTGGCCATGTGGCCTCTTCTTTCGTGCGTTATCCCGTTCTCAGGGCATCACCAACCACCAACCCGAAGTTAGCATCAGGCCAACCGCGGCCAGAGTTTAGGAAGTGTCGGGCCGGCAGAATAGCCTGAAGGAAACCTGCTGTATAAGTTGAACTGCAAAGCCCCTTGCGGCAGGGACCTGGGATGTTGCATCAATTGTGCTGCAACGAACAGCTGTGGGACCCTGGGTCAAGTCGGCAAAGCGCATGAGGACTGAGCGTAAATGAGAAAGAGACTTACGAAAAGCTCGGATGCCGTAAGTCTGACCACATTTTTGCCTAATCTGGTCTTGAAAGCCTGCAGCAGTCGGTGAAGTGTTGGTCGCCTTGCTGCTTGGAGACTTCGCGATTAGATGATGGGAAATCATTGTGTCAGTCAACTTGGCAACGTCCATCGCGGCAGTGGGTCGTCTTTTGGCCGAACTGTGACTCTTTGTCACAGTCCGTCAGGACGGGGGCATGAGATGCCCAAGTGTGCGGAAGCCGTACCATGCAGACGACTGTCCAGGAGAGCTGAGAACATGACATGTTTTTGGAATGGTACTACGAGTATACTCAAGCGACTCCCGTGCAGTGTGGCCGTGCTTGCTTCTCACACCCCGGCTCCAGGCTATTTTGCTTCATCCGTTTGCATCACATTGTCCCTCTATCATCTCCCGCTATGGTTCCCATCCTCTCTGTGTCTGACGGTCTGTATGCCTGGTTTCCTGTACTGGTACCTTATCTAGATGGATGGTGCATCAGTCGCAAGCTGATTTCGGCCAAGACTTGCCGGCCAGATTCGACTAGTTTTTGTTTCAAACTCTGGCATGCCCGGAGGATTGCCCATGATACTGGATGTGCACAAGGCCATGGAAGATCCAAGCAGTGTGGGTCACCGGCTCGGGTATGCCCTGCAGACCGGATGCTACGACTCTTTGTCTTGTCATAGGAACTCCCTGCCGTGTTTTTTCGAGGCTACTCCTTCAAGACCGAGGGCTGGGAGAAAGCCTTCGAGAATCGCTGGATACACTCTTTCAATGGCCCCCTGGCTGCACGAACCCACGGTGTTGTAAAACACTTCGTTAGACGTGGACGTTTGGGCTAATTCCGCCCACACAGGGTCCGCTGCTGTCTTGCTAGGTGGCAGTCCCTTCGTTTCCTACTGTAGGGTAATCATGTACGTGGACTCCGGAAGTACAGAACTGAACACCATCGGATTCGTTCAATACCCGTCGCAAGTCTAGTGTCTCTGGGGAGTGCTTCTTTCCCTGTGGTGAGACATCGCTCGCTGGGCCTCCGAGCTCGGGCGCGCTGCTCTTTGCAATCCGTCAATCTCTTCGTCGACGGTGCACGGGCTGTGTTTTGATCTTTTGGTCGGCAAGATGTCTTCGATTCCCAGATGCTCGTGTCCTGTGCTCCTGGGGCATTGTATTTCTCGGTCCTGCCTTCGTGACGTACGTCACGATCATGTACTTCCGGGTCCATATACGTACAGCAATGTCAGATTCCTGCGCCCGTGGACGGTTCACGAGACCAGAAGTTTCTCAGACGCACAGTGTGAGAACAGCAGCATCGGCAGCCTTTGATTTGACAGATTGAATTTGCAGTGCTTGTTTCGGACTTCGACAGCACTGATGACTGTATGTACTGTATGTAAAGAATTACCATGTGCAAGTTCTCGAACAACAGGGTATTTTCCGCTGTCTGTGCAATACCCGAAGCACAGAAGTACGGTAACGTATGGCAGTTGCACCGCCTGACCCTACGTAAGCAAGCGCGGACAACATTTATGTGCATTTATCGGAGGCACACAGGGGTTGTTAAAATTCTTCGTCGCCCCATATTGATCCTCCCGGCGGACAAAAGGAGCTTGCCACCCCTAGAAAAACAAAGCCTCTCCAAAGGCTCCGGGGCTCAGCAGCACCCCACGGAGATCCCAAATCCTTTCGCGGGCAAAAGCCCCAACACACTTTCGAAGCTCGCAGAAGAAACCGACCTCAACCCCTTTGGGGTCAGGTTTCGTGGGTGCTGATACACTGGATCAGCAGTTTATACAGAAGTACTCAAAGTTGCCTTTCAACGTGAACAAGCCTGTGGACAAGATGATCAAGGCAGGTTTGGTTTTGTCCTAAACAGTTCTGACTGGCAAATGCTAGCCGCACAGAGCCATGAAGTCGCTTGACATGGGAAAGTCGTGCATGAGATGTCGGCCAAACCACAGGAGTGTCTTTGATACTAATCTGTGTCCGCAACGTGTACTTGTCGACCCTGAATCAATAGCAGGTCTTCATGGGCGAGTACGGTGATCCAAACCTGGCAAGAAAACCAGAAGAACTCAAAGTCGACTTAGAGAAGGCACGTAAGTTGGTCGAGGACAAGACGAATGCCTTCGTTGCTTGCTAAGAATTGCTTCCTGGGGTGGAGACTTATTGAGGGGATTTGTTGTCAAAAACTGGTTCCAACTTGTCTCTCAAAGAAGGCGTGTTTTGTTTCGGGATTCGCAGCAGTGAAAAAGATGCCGACCTCCTGCGGCACCCTTTCTCACCAGAGACATCGGAAAGCAATGTTGGTGTAGTTGAACGGGATGCCGTCGGTCCAGACAAGAAACTTGAATCTGCGCGGCTCCTATATGCCGTTGTGAAATGCTGTAGTTTTTGCGGCATGACTCAACACCTCGCATAATAATTGGTCGACCCGGGGTAAGGTTGGCTTCAACTTCTTCCAGTACCAGGCGCCGTTTTGGTCGGCACAGGTTCAAGGTCGCAGGCTCGACTTGATATGGTGCGAAGTCGTTGGCGACCCAGCCGTCGCTTCGCATAGAAATGACAATCCACGCCATCACGTATCGTTAAGCCCAAGAAGAAGAACTCAAGTGGCCGGCTGCCCGGAATTTCGTACCTTAATGTGTCCTGTCTTGGTTCCTGAAAGGTCGCCTACTGGAAGCCGTGCGAGGACAGCGCAGGATCTTCGCTCAATGTCAGTATGCATGTTATATTTCTGAGTGGAGAGCAGTTCCGCACTCTCCTGAAGCCCGGTGCCAACTGCCAAGGTTGGGATCGTTGGGAAGGGGAGGCTTGGGACAATCCTATGGGCAAACCTCTTCCACGTGGCTGCAATGAAAGGCTGGCTCAAGAAAGCCTTGTTTCGTGCTATCAAGCGGGCCAGTCGGATGATGGGGCATATAGCTGGTGGCATAATCCATTTCTTTTGGACACGGCTGGCAAGGCTCTATGGCACCTTTTCGCTGGGAGACATACAGGTGCCTGTCCTAAATGATGAGGCTGAACTTGGGGTTTGTGTGCGGCCAGGCCTTGCAGTTCAGAGCTGTAGCACCATGCGAATCTGTGGCTTGAAGCTCTGCTAAGCACCTCGCACTTCCCCCGAAAACCTGTATTTCCTCGAGATTGCTTGCTCAAATTGCAAGCCGAGGTCAGCAAGACAGGTGGCATTAACTACGATAACCGGAACGTGTACCCCATCCAGTGCGTCAAGCCCATCTTCCGAGGCAAGCCCGAGGCGCGCAGTCGGCATGTCAAAACGTCAATAGTCCCATGGGTCTGTAGGCCCCCTTCAACACCGATGCTTGCCAAATGAACTGACGGGGTTGAAGCCTAGCACGATGTGGCCCTTGCGATCTTGATCGGCATATAAATGCATGGCATCTATTCCCGCCTTCGTCTCTGTGCATTGCCGTATAAGATGGGGCCGTGACGACTTGTTGGGCTCAGTGCTTGTCAAGCTCTGCTGAACATTGGAGCCATGCCGTAACGACGGTGCCAGCAAGCCCGTTGTCTCCTTCAAAACAGTCTCTCCTCCAGCCTCCCTGTTCTGAGCCTGCTGTTGGTTGTTTGTATCAGTGGGTTGCTGAGCACTGCAGTTGTATCGGGCACAAGTGTAGCCTCGCAGGGTTGGGTGGTAGTGCAGCTTCTCACTTGTTGAATGGACCTTCGATGTTCAGAAGCCTCACCTGCAGGCATCTAGGTTGAAAAAGTCAGCACCGGGAGGTTGTTGCAAATGCATGGCTGTGCGAGGCTATCGCTGCTGCCTACGGTGGTTCTGCGCCCAACACGACAACTTGCGAAGCAGGTTGGGAGGCAAAGCCAAAGCAGCGACCCGTCTGAAGCTGGGGGGCCAAGCCGTAAGAGTTGAGACCCTTTCTACGCCGTAGCCAGGTTTTTGCCGTGGTCGCTAACCAGTCGGAAGAGCCAAGACCCAAGATATGCTACATCTCGGCTCAAAACTTTAGGAGCGGAAGGTCGAAAGTCTTGCTGTTCCCTGCTTTGAACCATGCTGTTCTCCGGCTTGTGGTTCCTCTTCTTGCTTGCTCCCCTGAGCACTGCGGCTACCTTCCAGTCTTGCGGAGATGCCAACTCAACCACAGCCCCCGGCAACAGCCCGAACGCAGGACGTTCCCGTGGAGGTCAACATCCAGGGGCAGAGCGGCAAGTTCACTATCGTTCCAAAGGGTTCCTCGGGAAACTCTGTAGGGATCAGGGTGACCATGGATGCACTGCGGGAGGTGGATGCGGCCGGTGAAGCTGTCGGTCAGACTGGTAGCGTGAAGCACTCGGTCAACACTTTCGCCGCACAGGACTTCACTGTGGGCAGTGTTGAGCAAGTGACCGTTGGTTCCGTGGGTGCAGCAAAGATCTCGTTCGAGTCCACCGTTTCCAGCATCGGCAGTTTGGGTGTAGATACGTACCTCATCGCTGATAGCGGGGCAGTGGGTATGAACAACGACTCGTGGTCCGTAGACATTGGGGACTTGAAGTGGAACATTCGCCTGTGGGACTGGACTTGGTGTGGAGACTCCGGCGCCACGTGCAAGAGCGGTGAGGTCGGCGACGCCATCGAGCTGGACATCACGGTGCAGAACATGGGCGGCGGCTCAGCCAGCAAGAAGGATGGCAGCAACAAGACCGTCTCGCTCGGAGGCTCAGCACAATTACAACTATCTACACAAGTGCAGACGGATTGCACCTGGGTGGAGATGGCTCCTGACTATCCGATGGTCACCACCCAAGGAAGCAGCACAACCATCACCTTCCGCTTTCCGCGCTTCAGTTCTTCCTCACTCTATGACCCTGTGATCTCCGGCTCATGCGGTGAGCTCGGACTCGACTGCTCTGGGGACTCCACAGGGGGCTCCACGACGGAAGCTAGCAGCGTGAGTGCCAGTGCAACTGCGGGTGCAGGAGCAGCTGTGGTAGCAGCTTTAGCCGCGAAAGCTTGCTGGAATTGACCGGCCGGGTGGTCGTGCAAGAATTCGGCACGACGTAATGCTGTGCGGCACATGCTTGACAAAGAGCATGGTTGCATGGTTATCAAAAATTTCAAGATGCTTTTGAAGCGCCAAGCACTTGAGTTGTGCGGCGGCACTACGGCTTTGTGGCACAAACTCGACAAGGCAAACATTGTTTTCGAAGCTTTCAAGATGCTGTTGAAGCGCCAACACCTATGTTGTGCAAGCAGGGCGGGAAAAAGCATGTGTTGAGTTTGTGATGTCAGGTACTGCGTCGCTTCCAGAGGACTCGGCGTGCCTGGGCATGGGTATGCAGCACATGCGACACAATGAATTTTGAATTCGACATTTTCGGTTTCAATATATCACTTTGGATGCAGAAGAAGAAGCAGATTATGATGATGATGATGATGCTGTTACTGATGAATTTGCTGATGAGGATGATGATGATGATGATGATGCAGATGTAGATCTGCATCTGGATGCATATGTACATGTGGATGGAGTGGTGGCGGTAGTAGTAGTAGTAGTAGTAGTAGTAGTAGTAGTAGTAGGTGTAGGTGTAGGTGTAGGTGTAGGTGTAGGTGCAGGTGCAGGTGCAGGTGCAGGTGCAGGTGCAGGTGCAGGTGCAGGTGTAGAGTTGTTGTTGTTGCTGTTGCTGTTGCTGTTGCTGTTGCTGTTGCTGTTGCTGTTGCTGTTGCTGTTGCTGTTGCTGTTGCTGTTGCTGTTGCTGTTGCTGCTGTTGTGGTAGTGGTGGTGGTGGTGGTGGTAGTCGTCGTAGTGGTGGTAGTAGTAGTAGTAGTAGTAGTAGTAGTAGTAGTAGTCGTAGTAGTAGTAGTAGTAGTAGTAGTAGTAGTAGTAATTTGTTGTTGTTGGTGGTGGCGGTGGTGAGGGCCACAGATTGATTATGATTACAGTGGTGTCGTAATTTGACGTACGATTGCATTTGCTTTAACCAATCTCATCATTGCTAGTCATTTTCAGAGCCTTACTACTGCTACTGGTGTTCTTGTCAGTTTTGTTGGTGCCATGTTTAGTCTGACAAGTACAAAACCGTGGTGGCCAAATGTTGCGATCCCATTTGTTGTCTGAAACTCCCTTTCTGTTGTCGGCGTCCGAGGCACGGAGATCACCTCCTGGGCTCGTAAAGCTTAGCACTTTTGGGCCTTCGAGGGCTCGGGATGTTGTTGGGGTTTCGGCACAGTGTAAGGATTGCAGGGCTTTGGGTCCTGTGGTGGTTGTGCGAGTTCGTTGTGTTGGGGCTTTGGCTCTTCGCGTCAGCTGACAAGTGTCCATTGAAAGCCGCCAGACTCAGAGCAGCTTCTGCGGCCCTCCGTGTGGATCCCGCGCCCCAGAATCACTCCGCAACACCAAAACGACGTGCAACCAAAGTGCTGGAGACATGTAGAATGGAGTACCGACCACAGAGTGTGCCTTGTAGGTGTTGGAGCTGAAGTATCTTCCTTAGGCGAGGCTTCCGGGCATCGTCTACTTGTCAAAAGCAGCCGAACATAACGAACATATTTAGAACATGTCCTTGAGCATCGTGTGCTGCTAGAACACTCTGTGGCTGAAGGTGGACTTCAAGCCGACAAGCTCTAAATAGCTACTCAATTCAATTGCAACTTGAAACGCAAGCCCCGCAGCTTTGACTCTAGACTCTAAGCCCCGCATTCCAAGCTGGAAAAATGCTGCCGTCGATGCGGCCTGACTCCGGGTTCCTTTCAGAGCTTGCAGCGGGCTAAACTCAGGCAAGTCGCCCAAACCCAAATCCCCAAGCTTGATGACACCATGCTGGCCTTGGAACAACTGCTGGGTTTGCTCAGTTTGCTCTCACATCTTGGCAGGCGGGGAGTCTGAAGGCTGTCTTCTAAGCAGTTGAGAGGGCCGCTCAGTGCATGCATGAGGCAGCTTCTGCAACAATCGCCCCCTTCCTAACACTCCGAACATCGTGCTTGAGAAGCAACGTGCGTGCACATGTAGGTCGGGTGGGAGCCAAGCGATACAACCCTGGAAATACCCGATGATGCTTGCAAGAGGTTGGCGATCACCTTGTGAGGTTGCAATGCAATGAGACCGTGCACCCACAGCCGAACGATTTCATGTCGCATGCATAACGACGATTGCTCTTAAAGCAGCTGGCTTCACAATGGAATCGACCCGACAAGGAAGAAACATGCCTACGCGAAGCCCCAGCTGATGTATTGTGAGAACGACAGTGACGAAGAGCCTTCCAGAGTCTATGGCGAGGAGTTCACAACATACCAAGGCTCATCCTAGCCCGCACTTCTCCACAGCATCTTCACCTAGACCCGAATATAATCCCAAACAACCATTAAATCCTCGAAGGACCCGAATCGTAGTATTGCTGTCGCCTCCCCCACCACAGCTGCTGGCGAAAATGGCTTTAGGCAGGCAAGCTGAAGCGCATCACCGGCAGAATCCTGATGCTGAACCCTCAACCTCATGTCCGAAACTTCCCCAAGTGCTGGAACCCAGCACACAAATGCTTTATGAAGTATCGAGCCCAACTTCACATGTCTACTTTTATCCCTGCTATCTCCCAAGAAAGAGAGTCTATGGACGGCTTCCCGGAAAGTCACACACAAAGGTGTTCTCCGGCTTCACATCTCGGTGCATAATGCGATGCCTAGAACACAACTGAGGATTTGCGAGTCTGGGCTTCCGGAGTTTGGGACCGGGTACTTGACTCTTCAGCATCTCTGTTGCCGTTTTTCCTAGGCCAAGGCCGGTTTCGAAGAAATATACCGCGCTCCTCTTCAAGCAAAGGCCGACAATCCTCCAATAGAGCGTTCAGAAACTAAACGTCTGTCCGAGGCCTAGCCGAAGCCTTGGTGGAGCTTGAGTTTACAACGGAAACTCAGATTTTGGCTTGCATAATCACACATCACCACCACAAGCAGCAATTCACGACAAAAGTAAAGTTACGTACAGGCAACTACAGGACATAATATACAATTGTTCATAATGCTGAGAGTGATGGCACGATAACGGAGAACCGCTTCCAAAGCAGGAGTGAGCTCCTGTAGCTAAATGTAATCATACTGGCACACGTAACACGACAAAGCATGTAAAGAACACAACACATAGTTTGGTGCGGTAACGGTAAGGGCATCATACCAAAAAACCGTAGACACTAACCCTGGGTCATAATGAATAACCTCAACCCATGCGAAACTTATGGCAACAGCACAGACTGCCCATGCTAAGAACGATACGCACATGTTGGCCCGGGCGGAAGCATGATGTCTGGAGTCTAGTCAGAG